CCCCTTCTTAAAAAAAAGGGGCCGGGGCCCCCCCCCCCCCCTCTACCTCCCCCAGAGGATGAGGGTACAGTCCAAAGTAAGCACAAGCTTACTTAAGGTTAATGCCTATTGGTACGGCATTAAAAAATATACTAAAGTCCCCCATTGGGCGGTGGAGGACTTAGAGTTAAGACACCCCAAAACTTTCCGGCGTGAGATCCAAAATGGCTTCGGACGCTGGAGGGGGGGGGGGTGCTCGTTGCTTGAAGTGGACCAATATAACATAGAGCCATCCAAGCAAAGCTTACTACTCACCTGAACGACCTGACCAACCACGCAAAAACTGCGGAGCTAGATGTGCGGCACGCACAATGAATTGTTTTCGATTGGAGAGAGGCGAGTACAAAGCAGTAAGGAATTGTTGGCCAAACTTTCGGCAGATAGGTCTACTCGGGAGCGTAAGTGGGGTAGCAACCCATGGTGGAGCGTACATGAGAAGCTGGACGTTGGTGTACGATCCATCCCGGCGTGTGAGTAGGATCTTAGGCTATGCAAGTCGTCCCTGAACTTATTGTGGTGAAAATGACCTCCCAGGAGGAAAGTAGCCTGTACCGCGGGACTTCGGAGATGACAAATTGGGTGGTCGGGGGACGTCTGGGTGTTTACTAAGCAGAACGCCCGGCACAAGACTGGGGTACTTGTGCCAGGAGGTGTGAACTTGGATCTAGACTACGAGCCCATGTTGGAGGCGCTATTTAGCGTCGGTGAGCCGGCAAAAGAACTGAAAGGAACCACAACCCCCACCGGACACTCGGATTGGGAAGGCCGAGTATTCCGTATACCTTCCTGAAAAAACACGAAAAACAAGTGGCCGCGGTCCAGTTGCTGTAGAGATCATGAGGATGGTGAAGAAGCCGGGAGGATGGAAGCAGAAACTGTGGCAGGGAGACAGGTTGGAGCTGCTGCTGTTTGGAATTCCAAGGGACATGACGAGGATAGAGTTCAAGAACTGTTGTGACACGGAGGGACTGCATTGCCTAGCAAGGGGAGAAGTAGGCAGAGAGCACGAACATTTCCGGGTGAAATTGACCAAGGGAGACAGCCAAGAGTGCTTGGGGGTTGACATCGAGAAGCTGTCGAAATACGTAAGGAAGTTTGGATGGAGGGTTTGCGTCGCGAACATGATAGGAACAGAGAAGGTAAGGCGACAGGAGGCGAGGGCGATAGAGGCGAAGAAGAGACCGGGCGGGGGAGACGAGCAGGCAAATCAGAAGAACGCCGAGAAGAAGCGGAAGGCGAAGGATAGAGTGCGCAAAATCTCCAATAGGGAAAAACACAAGCTCAGAGTGGGGTCGTGGAACGTGTGCGGGTTCGCAAGGAGTGAGCGCAAGCGGTTGGAAATAGTGGACCAAGTAGAACAAAGCGATCTGGATGTAGTGGGGATCCAAGAGACGTGGGAACTGAAGGATGGGGACGTGGTAAGCAAAATAGGGAAGTACCGATGGGTAGGGAAGGCAAGAAAGGGCTTAGACCCGAAGAAAAGGGGGGAGGGGGGAATCGGATTCCTGGTCAAGGAACACTTGTTTGACGTGGTGGAAGTAGTGGTGAAAACGGAGTTCGAGGAAAGCCTATGGCTTAAGATACCTGGGGAGCGGGGTGAGAAAGATTTGTTTCTAGGGAACGTATACGTCCCACCGTCGTCGAAGAAAGTCGCAAGCAAGGCGCAGGAGAACTTCGGACAAATTGGGGAAGATGTCCAGAGGTTCAGTAGGAAGGGAGAAGTTGTCATGGTGGGCGATTTCAACTCCAGAGTAGGGAAAGCTTGCAGTAGAGGACAGGCGATCGGGCAGCACGGAGAAGACAAAGTGAATGACAACGGAGTGAGGATGCTTGAATTCTTGGGAAGCAACGAGCTGATGGTGTTGAACGGTAGGAGGGAAAGCGATAAGCCAGAGTTCACCAGGCAGAGGGCAGTTTGCAATGAATACTCGATCCTCGACTACATCCTGGTAGATAGGGGGAGCACACAGGTCCCGGAGCTGCACGTAAGTGCGATAGATATAGGCTCGACCGACCATTTCCTCATATGGGCAAACATCGACCGATCTAGAAAGACGGAGAGTAAGAAAAAGAGGAAAGTGTTCCGGTGGAAAGTAGAGCGTTTGGGAGACGAGGGGACACGCGATGAATTCCAGAAGGGATTGGCTGGTAATGTAGAACCCTTCAGGAAACTGCTGAGAAGCGTCGAAGACGGAAAGGTAGACGTACAGGCAGCAGGGGACAGGGTGATTGAAGGATGGGAGTCCATAGTGAACACAACGGCAGAGAGAGTAGTGGGGAAAAAGGTGGTACGATGTGGGGTATCGGTTAAGTGGTGGGATGACGAGCTGAAAGAAGAAATAGGGGAACGTAGAGAAGTCTTCAAGCAGTACCTGGGTGAGGGGTCTGAAGAGAGTTGGGAAAAGTACAGGGCCAAGAGGAAACAGGTGAAGGGACTAGTGAAAAAGAAGAAAAAGAGCATTAGGGACGAGGTAGTGCAGAAGGCCAACGGAGGCCTGGAGGGGAACGTCAAGCAGATGTGGGAAGGGATTAGTGGGATGGTAAAAAAGACCGCGCAAGGGGGGGATACAGGGGTAGCAACATTGCGAGGTGTGAACGGTGGACTAGTCAGCAGTGGGAAGGGAAAAAGGGAAGTTCTAGCAGGACACTACAAGCGACTTGGAGTGCCTTCGGAGAATGAAGATTTTGACCAAGTGTTTAAGGAGGAGGTGGACGCATGGGCCCAGAAAGAAGAAGAGACATCGAAGGCAGACGTTGGGAACGTAGAACTAGAAAAGGAGTTCACTGAGGACGAGGTTGAGGCGTGTGTGAACAAGCTGCAGTGCCACAAAGCAGCAGGGGCGGATGGGATAGTAAACGAGTTCATGAAGTTTGGGGGGAAGGGGATGATCCAGCTGATGGTACTGCTATACAACTGGGTGTGGAAAAACGATTATGCACCAAGTAGATGGAGGGAAGGAGTGGTTGTGAACTTGTTTAAGAAAGGAGACAAGACTGACCCAGGAAACTACAGGGGTATCACACTGTTGAACACAGTAGGAAAAGTGTTTTGTAAGCTGCTGAACGATAGGATAGTGGGAGTATTGGAGAAGAAACGTAGCATTAGTGAGGGCCAGGCAGGTTTCCGACAGAAGAGGGGGTGCGTAGACCACGCATTCACGGTAGGGAGAATCATCCAAGGTAGAAAGAGGGCGGGCAAGCGGACGTACTGCTTCTTCCTGGACGTGAAAAAGACATACGATACCGTATGGAGAAATGGGCTGTGGAAACAATTGTTCAAGTACGGGATCAAGGGGAAAATGTGGAGGGTGCTGAAGAAGATGACAGAGTGTACGAAAAGCGCGGTCATGCTAGACGGAGAACTGTCTAAATTCTTCGACATCGAGCAGGGGGTCCCACAAGGTTGCACGCTGTCCCCAACATTGTTCCAGGTGTTCATCAACGATCTGTTGGAAGTCGTAGAGGCAGTCCGGAAGGGAGTAAAAGTAGGGGACACGGAAACTTCGGTGTCAGGAATGCTGTTTGCGGATGACTTTGTTGGTATGTCGGACACCCCTGAGGGACTGCAACTGCAAATTGACGCGGCGAAGAAGTTTACTGATAAGTGGAGATTGTCTGCCAACGTTACGAAGAGTGCCGTCATGGTATGCAACGAGGGCAGGGAGGAACCAGTAGAACATAGATGGAAGTGGGGGATCGAGGAGATTGCAGTAGTGGACCAGTACACATACCTCGGAGTAGAGATCGCAAAAGATTGCTCGTGGAATGCACACATGTCCAAGGTAGCGGAAAAGGGCAAAGCACGAGCAGGGAAGCTGCACCCAATACTCGCAAACCGGCACCTTGATACACGCATCAAATTGACGGTTTTGAAGAGCGTAATCGTACCGCCGCTGGAGTACGCCGGAGAAGTATGGGAAGGAAATAAGAAGGTAGTGAA